AATTGTACGATGTCAAGACGATTCATTCGCGTAGCGTGAATCAATAGAGGATGGTAAGGTTCATCCAAAGTACTATGATTAGTATTTGCTCGGCCGGTTTCGATCAATAATCGAGCAACGGGAAATTTCGCTCGATAACATGCGCAATAGAGAGCAGTAACACCTTCGAGAATTGTCTGATTATCAAGGATGATTGTTCCTTCGAGTTCTACTTGATATTTGGGTTCGCAATGTTCAAATAGAATACGAACTATATCTTCGTGTCCATGAAGAGCAGCTACCATCAGTAAGCTTAGTTGTTCTTGGCCATACCAATTCACCGAGGTCAAATATTCTGTTCGATTGGATAAGTTGGTCAGTTGACTAAGAAGTTGATCTGTTAAACCATCGCGAACAAGAGTGTAGAGTTCATCGAGAACTCTATCTTTTGTATCGAATGAATCGAGAGAAATGGTATCTGGCATTGAATAGAATCTTATTCGCAGTAGTAATTTACAAATAATTGATCTTTTAATAAAGCAACACAGCTTAATATAGCAGCTGGGTTGTCAGCTGATGCAAGGTGATGTTGCATCATTGATTTCAAGCTCGTTGCATCGTTAGAAATAAACCTTGCTGGCAAAGTCATAGAAAAAAACAGAAAAAGAAGAACAATATAGACGAATGCTTACTTACACAAGTATTGCGCAATTCACTCATACCAACAAGTAATATATTTTTCTTGCGACGTGAGAGCAGAACACGTTTTTCCTCGTTTGAAATGTATCATGCGTTACGTCATCCAAAATCTTAAGAAACTATTTCCATATAACTGCATAATTGTATAGCTCATATACTCATTTACATCTATCCCTAGTATTATTTTATTTTTGGAACTACAGTGTTATATCAGCATATGGATAATGTGCTTTTTTGTAATAGCAATGAATTTCATTACTAGAATTATTCATGTTTTGTGTGAATAATTAAATAATCATTGTGATTATTGCCTAGTCGTTTGAATGTGATGATGGTAAATCATATTATTTTATTTGGAAAAAACCGACCGCGCTCTAAAAATGAGTAAAGATGTGTTATTCCGTTTGGGTGTTTATCGTCACTAGCATGATTTTCAATCATTATCGGCGCCCTACCTGTTTTGCTGTTGGTCATATTTTTCATTTATCTGTATCATGTCTATATTCATGCATGACGTCAAATTATGTTCGTCGTGAGTTGGAAATCACCCCACATTGTCACTTTCACAGCATATACTGATATGCATTCAAATCGCGACTACTTAGCCTGTTTCATTGGAATCAAGATTACAATGGGCGCATCCGAAGATGAGAAAATTGAATGTTTTCAAGGAATATTTTATTTTAGATCCTAATTTGAATTCTAACTCTATTCATCTGTAGTCTTTAGCTAACTGGGCAGATCGACAAAAAGTAATTGATTTTCTGAGTATGTACGAATGGAATATCAATGTATGTGAATTTGACATTTAAATAAAAAGACTATGAATGATTGTATTCCTTAGTTTTTTCAATAATTTGCTGTCGCCACAGTTTTTACTGCTATTGGTAAATATTTTTCGGTATTTGATTTATTGCTCAGAGGAAACTAACAAGCATGCATTACATAATTCCATTATGCGTCAATTGAAATATAAACTAACAGATGGAAATCCGACGGGACAAGGAAACTCATCAATAAATTCCGCTGAAAATAATTTGTCTGCCATTGTATCGTCATTACTTGAGCTACCTGGTCCATTAGATCATCTACAAACAGAAAATCATTCAAATGAAATTATAATTACGTCAAATGTCGAATCTTTCGATCGGCAAGTCGAGCAACCAATCCAGTCCACTGTGCATACAACATCTCTAATTCTCCCTGTCATCAATCAATTTGATCAATGTAAATTTTTATGTAGAGTGAACAAATGTCGATTCTTCTAACATCCTTTTCAAATAAAAACAGTCCTAATGCTATAATTATTTTATTAAGATAAAAAACAAACAACTAATTCAATATAGTGATTCAAATGATATTGATAAACATACTCATGTAAATACTCCATGGGGATCTCGAAAAAGTACGAATAGTTATTTTCATTATTATAGATGCATAGAAAGATTTATCTGCTATAGTTATCTACGCTGATTATACAACATCTGGACGTGGTCTTCTATTCATCGAGTAACACATGCTAAAGTGTGTCTTGCCTTAGTAAGACTAGTTTTCCTTCTAGAACAAAAAATTACTTTTGTTTTGTCGTTACGCGAGTACACATAGTGAAAAAGTGCTGGTGCAATACAAACTGCGAAATTTCATGAAGGATCACGAGCATTGATTAAACGATATGTGAATGCGACTGATGATGATGTTGCTATTTTTACTGGCTCAGGTAAATGATTACTCTTTAGTTCCGTATGAAAAGAGACAATCGATCAATTGTGTAGAATCAACAGCTGCGACGAATAAAATGATCAATGTTTTAAATTTGAAAGATGATCATGACGAAAATATTTTATCCTGGAAGGAAACACAAGTCGAGGTAAATTACTTCGCTAATTTCATCTAAAAACATTGATTTGCTTTAGTGGTAAAAAATGATTTTAATTCCTTTTTTTTAATTTTTAGGTCTTTTAATTGCTAAGAAAAAATTCTTTCAAAATCAAGTTTTAGTTGAGTCGCCAGACGGTATTGAAACACCGGATATTCTTGGTGCAATTCGAGTTGGTTCAGTTTTTCATTTAAAAGAATCTGTTGGTTGTCATATAATAGAAGCACTTGAGAATGAATGCGTTGACAAATTCTTCAGAAAATTTCGAAATCACGAAAAATTAATTATACTTGGGCCAACCAGTATTCCTCGACTGGCATTATTTTCATTTCTTATTTATGTACCAATATTTAGGAAAAATTTTGTTCTGTCTTATTAAATGATTTGGTATTCAAGTACGACCGGAATGTTCTTATAATGCATCTTATGTTTCAGTAAGTGAGGTATAAGAAGAATTGTATGGGCATTGCAACTGTTTTGAATATATAGGGCCTACTAAACCTGAATGATCAAAAGCCAGAGATTATAATGAAATTTCTTGCAGCCAGTGAAAAGTAAGTTAGAATGAATGGCTTCTAAAAATGATGATCCATGAAAATTTTAGCGATCAACTTGATGCAATTACGAAAAATGAATTGATTCGGTCCGGTTTCACTCGATTGAATCTATCCTATTTTACAAGTGATGAAGGCGTTGATTATGTTTTAAATGCAATTGAATTTATTGCCAATGATGGTTGGCAATTTTTACCATTGGTAAATAAGAATTGATTTTGTTTCTTGTTGATTTTAGTATACACATGATTCAACAACAGCTGTTTGGCGTACTCGAACTATTCAACTGGAAAATCCTATCATTCAATTGCATAGTCTTCAAATGATTACTTTTGAAAACGGAACCATAGAGGAAAACTTTGCAGTACAGCAAATGGAGCCAACTGTAATGACGAATTTGAATACTCATAATTTGATGATAAATTCAACTTCCAATGATTCAATCGAACAAGCCAGAGCGATCATGAAACATATAACAAGATATGTCTGTGAAAATATTGATCTTCGCACTGACCCACCATTAGATATTCCAGTTAGATATCAAGACTTTATTTGGTGGTGTGGGGTGTGGGTGTGAGCGTTTCGTACAATGCATTCTAATTTCTCAAAACGACGTGAGCTTCATCATAATACGTTGCTTATTACATCATCTTATGTACTGGTGGATGATACACGATCAAGAAAGTAACAAATATTGTTCTTTTGTCTAAAAAATTAGCTTTATTGAGGTTCACTTCAGATAAAATAAATCTTTATTATGAAGAACATGAAATACAATTTATTCAGACAAAATCGTTTTTGTATCAAACTGAACCCTTCGATTCACCGTCTCCCAATACAGCTTTACCAATACCAATATAAAATACCATTTGCAAAATGCCAAACATAGGTGCTATACTCGTAACTCGAAGGACTGCAGTATTCATGAAAGTTTTTGTAGGTTCATTGAGATATATTTTTCTAGATTGTACAATAGAGAAAAAATTTAATCACAAAATCAGTCAGACGTACTTGGCACAATCGATTACTCCATTGTAAGCATTTTTAAATTTCGGATCACCTGATTGAATGCGAGTTTTGATCACTGTAACAAAGTTAATAAAACAAATTGAGTTTAGATATCAAAAGTTAAATTGATTGTAGTAGAATACCATCTAACGGGGTTGCCACATATGCAGATACAGCACCAGCACAAATGCCAGACATTAACGTGTGATAAAATGGTACTTTATCAGTCTCTAATGATCGTCCGCGATTGTTCAAATATGCAAACAACGGGAAATAGATCATAGAGAAGAAAACATCTCGGTTCCAAGTAGCAACTGCACCTTTATACAGACCAAGGAAATTCTTTTGGCGAATATTTTCCATGCCATGGCGCCAAGCACTCGTTATCTCGATATCGGCGCCTATGTCAAAATGAAATACGAATCAATTAATGTGCTCGAAAATTAATCTCAAACATGATTCTACCGCTTCCAGTCGTTGTTACGTTTCTAATTATTAATAATTCCATTGGAACTGTTACAACCAATTGACAGGTTCCTGCGCCTGCTCCAGCCAGCATCCGCTGATATAGTGACAGTGGCTCGTCCCTTTTGATAAGAGATAATCTATGAGTTCTGTCGATCCTGGTCTTACTCACTTTGTTTGAAGCTTAGCGCAAAGATAATCATTAACAACAAGCTTGATTGTTTTTTCAGGTGTTATAAAAAAAGCATTGACAGTGAACCCTAAACATCAGGAAAATATTCAAAGTCTATTCTTGTTAATAGCCAACTCACCATTATACAGGCCACGTAAACCGTGACGTCCAAATATCTCTCTGCCACAATTGAACCTAAAACAATTTTTATGTTTTCATTTTGATAGAACACTATAGATAGTATTTGAAACTAACAATTTCTTGTAAGTACGCTCTTTGTCAATAGTAACCGGTTTACTCTGTAACATAAACCTCATCAAATTCAAAGGATACACACAAGAAATACCAATAAGTCCTGCGCTGCTAGCATTAATAATCTGTTCTTTCAGTCTGTTTAAACAAATACAATCATTATACTATCAATATAAGTTGTTTTTCTTACAGGAAATTTTGTTCAGCTTTTGATGACATTTCGTTGTAGAAATTATTGTTTTTTGTAATAAAAAAATGTGTTGCTTACTGTTCGTTGAAATAAAAACTATGGACAAAATAGCTGTTTATATAATAAAGACTTCCTACGTAAATAAAGTTAAACTACTTCCTAAAAATTCCTAGAAAGCTTCTGCAAAAATAAATCATTCATGACGTCAACATTGTTGTTTTTTTTGTTCGATCACATTCCATCACACTCACTTGCTTTTTCTTTCGAAAGAAACAATAAGATTGAAAATTCCAACAAACCAAAAACTTTTGTTCGTGTGAGCACGATTTGATTACTAATGGAATAAGAAATCAATAAAAAGAAAAAAAAACTTCGTCTTTCTTTTGCGTGTCATTGTTGGAATGTACACGGAATAAATTTACTTTCAATATCATAAGTACACGCGACACGGTATTTTGAGAATCTGTAAAGAGACTCGACTAAATCTACTTCTTATTTGTACTTCTATATTTGACTCACAATCAATATATGAAATTAAGAAATAACAATACAGATCGATTTTCGACAACACATTATGATTACTTTTACAGAGGCAAAATATCTTGGAAAAATCTTCTCATGTGAAATAAGCTAGCCTTTGTTGGATATGCATATTTTATATTCCCAATATTACTCTAATAAGTACGTCTTTGTATTTTGTTCTGTTGGATTTGTCGGTGTATGATATTATTTAGATTAAGTATTAGATGATGAATCTTTTCGAAAGAATTCAATCGAAACAAATGAAAATAGTGATAGCCTTATCCATTATATCGTGTCCGTTGCTTTCTCAACTAAATATAAAAGTACAATTATTTAATTATTTCTACTGCTAGGACGAGAATAAGTTCAAACTCTTCATAGTATTCTTAGGGAAATTTTTATGGATGTTTTTATAAAATAATTGAAGGCCTAGTCAATAGCACTACGCTTTTTATTCTTGTTGATCTCTGATATGGTGAGATACTTTTCTAGAAATACATAAAAGCACATTTGAAATACTTTTACCTTCTTCAACACTACATACGAAAGAAACGACTAAGTTGGAACATGAGGTTATTTATCATAAAGTAAATACTATCTCTCAACTTCCTTTTTGTTCCTTTTCAAGCGAATAATAAAATCGAAGCGGGTGTAAATAGAAGACACAGAGTATATTACTAGTTGCACTTCTTAAAAGTATCACATTTGGATTTTAGATTTTCTTTCACTAAAAGAATATAAACAAATTTACAGAATGTCTTGAACGATGGGGCGGGGGGGGGGGCTGCGAGGTAAATCTGTGAATTTTGAGGAGAAATATTCAATTTGCAATAATAAGTCTTTATAAACGCAAACAAAAAAGTAACGTACTTTGTTTACTAAAAGAACCCGTTAAATAAAAACATCAAGATTAATATCATTTTATTGGAATTATGTGCATGTGTAAGTCGAAAGCCTCCTTTTCGGATTAGATTATCGGAAAAAAGGATTATTATAAAAAGATGCGGCATATTAGTAAGATGAAAATTAGGGGTGTCACATTTCTTCAATAAGCGCCCCTGAGATCCGCCTCAAGGCTTTTTTTCGAAAATCTTGCCTGTATCTACCCCCAGGATCGTTTTTTGAAAAATAATTTTTTTCTAAAACTACTCGATTATACGTAGTTTCATACGCTGATTCTAAAGATGTAAATCGTTTTTTTATCAGGATAACCGGTGACGATAGAGGCGCCCATAAATAATAGCAATTTTAACGGATTTATATGAATTTTCGACAACATCGAGATAAGTTTAATTAGCTCAACAATAAAATAAAATCCGAGAAAGGTTCATTGCAGATTTTCAAGCTAAGTGTTCAGTGAATCTAAATAAAGCAAAATTCTTACTTCTAGGTCTCTAACTTGATGATTAAATAGACATACCAGAAATTATTCCAAAACATTCTTCAAATTATTGCTGTGTTGTAGGTGTTTTTTTTAGCTTAGATTACTTTGTAATTAATCTAATGATATTTTTGTCATCAACTTTTCGTGCTGATCACGAATCTGAAATCATATCTTGGATTTGAACAATCATACAGAATTTACTCAACTGATCTTGCATCCGGCTGAACAGAGAAAAGTGTTCAATCTCAACATTTGTCGTGCAGTCTAACTATTTTCTCTCAACTTTTATCTAAGTAAGCAATACCATAGGAGATGCAGAATTTCAAGGACTTTCAGAAAATATGCAAACTAATTTGGGATGACATGATCCATTATGGGTATTGTCAAAATATTGAGAAATCCTCATTTTAACCAATCGAAATTTTTGTCTATATATTGGTAATATCTGCTGATATGTGGTGTTGGATGAATAGATCAATCGCTGCGTTTTGTAGAGAAAACATTTCTCTATCTTTTGAGACATTTCCGAAGTCAAACGAATGAGCGAACGCGGAGGAAAGTATAAAATACTACTGACACCCTAAAAACTTCACTTTTTGACCAAATATAAATGGTGCATAACTTGCAAACGCTGGCATTTTTCTCCGGCACATCAGAAAGATCTAATATATTGGATTCACTTATGGTTTGAATAGACCTTCCATTTTAGATAGTTAAACCGAAAATCAAAATTTTACCGGCGGCCGACTCCTATCAAAGTTACTAAGTGGTTCCGTGGACCCTCTCTTAAGAACCATTTCAAGCGTTTGCAAATGTTCTTCTTCATTTTTACCAGTGATTAATATATCGCCAAGATACGCAATTGAATTAGAAATACCAACAATTACTTGATTAATAATTTTTTGAAAAATTGCAGGTGCATTTGAAATATCGAATGGCATACGATTGTATCGAAATAAACCCAATGGTGTATTAATAACAACTAGACTTTTACTTTGTTCGTCTAATTCTATTTGAAGATAAGCATGTGATAAATCGAATTTTGTAAATTTTTCACCATTATTAAGTCGAGACAGCAGTTCATCAATTGATGGAATTGGATGTTGATCAACTAATATTTGAGAATTAACTGTAACTTTGAAGTCACCATAAATTCGAATTTTACCATTTGGTTTTTTAATTGGAACTATTGGTGCTGCCCCAGGCTAAGTATCAATACGTTCTAAAATACCAGCATTAACAATACGTTCCAATTTCTTCTTTAATACCTGTAAGATATGCAAATGGTATTGGTCGTGGTTTTGGAAAATTTTGGTATAGCATCAGGTTTAAGTTGAATATGAGCTTGAACTTTAGTACAATATCCAAGTTTATTATTTAACATATTTTCATAATTTTTGAATGTTAATTGAAGTTTTGAAACATCATATACCTTGTTAATGTGATGTTCAATAGGAATTCGTGTATGGATAAGACTGTTTAAGTCCAATGAGCCTTATTCCGAATTCGCTTATAAGCCTCCAGCCAATGAAAATGTATATGAATTCGTGTGATATGCCGCAGTCGATATATTTTCTTCTTTGACCTTTTCCCACGTTAT